CCCCAAAACCCCAAAACCCCAAAACCCCTTTGTTAAAGGAACAATTGAAGCTTTAAGATCTAATTAGGAGGTAAGCAACCACCATGATGAGAATATCTGTGACTGAGATAGTACTGATGACAACTCATCCTCTTCGTTGTACGTTGACTTTGCGATTCTCTTGTAGCTTGAGTAGTTGATCGGGTCTGTCTCAATGTCTGTTTCTTGTAAGTAGAGCTCCCAGAACTCGTCGAAATTTTCGTTATTGAACAGTAGTTTGACTTGAGAATAATGTTTGTGGTTGAAATATGCCAGGAATTTGAGTGTACAGCTTAGTTCAGGGAGCATTTCGAACTGTTCGATGTGTTGAAGTTTGGTCTAAATTTAACAAGAAAGCTTACTTCTTCTACACCGATAGTAACAAAGTTGTCAAGTTGATAGTCTTTGATGACTTGATTAAACTCCTCTTTGACTTTATCAAACAGCATCGAAAGACTCTGTCTGATCTGTATGGCGTCATCCCTTCTGAAAGTCAGACTTGAGAACTCGCAAGTGCTGTTGAACAGGTCTCCTTCTGACACTAAGTTGTTCTCCAGAAGGATGTTTCTGATGAAGCTGTTGAAGGGAATTACAACTTTTTGGTAAATAAATGAAAGATGCTTGCAGATGGCATCATTTTGAAGAAGTTGATGGTCTATTTGATAATCTTTGAGAATCTTTGTTTGGTATTCGAGTAAATAAAGCTCTTCATTATCAATATCTACTTTAATTTTTCTGTGAAGAATTCCCAAAATACCTGGAGACTTGAAAACTTTCTTATTCTTTCCTGGTTTGGAATCAAAGTATAGAAAGTCAACAAATCTTGGATATTTGTTTTGAATTACTTTAAATACTTCCACCTTAATTTGGTGGTCACTCTTTGCACTATCTACAGCAATTCAATGCATCTTTGCAAGTATCAGTCAATCTTTCTTCTTCAAATTGTCTCGACGTTTATCACCCGCTTTCAGATGCAAGAAAGCAACTTGCCCCAAAATGTCTTTTCTTAAGTAGTCAATGAATGCAAGGATGCATTTCTCTCTGTTTATTGTTTTGTTCAGAGTGTATTTTGAAGCCACCGTCATAGCTTTCTCTTCTAATATTAACTCAAGCAACTCTGGGTTTTTTGTGTCAGGTTCTTTTTCAATATAGTTGTACACAAAATCAGGTCTCCAGTTGATCCAATAAATGTCTCCATCTAAGTCACCTGATCCCATTTTGTGTTGGTCTGGCCTATCTCCTTTGGCTGAGAACACAATTACGTTGACCATGTCATGAAGCATCGGCTCATCAACAGCAGTCAGGATTCTGAGGTCACCAGGATGGACTCATGGAGACCTTGTCACCAAGACTTTGCCAGAGACAAGTGTAGTGTCTTCGGCGTTTCTTTCACGTCAATATTTAGTGCTTTTGTTGATTTGGATGAAGACTTCGTTTTCTTCAAGGCAATTATAAGGATCAATTACTCCAATGAGATTGCAACTGAACTTATCGAAGATCCTGAATTTATTTGCATACATCTCTAAGTCTGTTAAAGCAAATTGACTTGATGATAGGCTTGATGAATGGGTCTTTATAGTAGTCATCTCCTTGTTTGTGCATGCCTTCTATCTTCCTCTGAATGACACAGAATGATTGAAATAGTTCTGCAGGATACCGACTGTCAATATCCAAGTTCTTCAAATGATAGTAAGACAGCAACTCAGAAATATAATTTTGTTGGATCTTAATGAATACATTTTCATCAATTCCATTGGACCACATCACAAGTATGATTTGCTTGTTCAGATACCCATTCATATAAGTTGCAAGCCTAATTACCTCGAGGTTAACTTCAGTCTGACTCTCAGGTAACTCAAACTTATTCATACTCTTCTTCGTCAAGACCTTACAGTTCCCTGCTAAATTATTAGTCGCCAGGAGTACTCCCTTGTACCCTCCCATCCTGATCTGTATGGCTGAGCACATGGAGTGTTTAAAATGCTTCTTAAGGATCTTTTCTTCAAAGAACTCTTTGTCGATCTCTCCACATCCATCAGAGAAAGTGTATCCGTTCCTTTCAATATCAGGGACTTCAATTATTTGGTTGCTAATCTCAAGCTTGGCAGTAGCAACACTGCTACTAAAAGCCTGACCTCTTCTAGCGATTCCTTTGAAGATAGACTTTTCCTTACTGAAATTTCCGAGGGATTTGATGAAGGTGCTGTACTCTAGCTCACCTGGGACTTCATTCATGAACCAGCACGAGTGACTTTTTATTTGCGAGTTTGAGAAATGTAGGAACTTAAATAATTTATCCCCAATTGTAAAGCCATTCTTCATAACTTTACGGATATGGTCAAGTATGCCATCATTCTGAGCACCGTCCCAATAAATTCCTCTTTGGCCATCTTCATTAAGGAACCTGACACGAATGAAGTTGTCAATGTGGTTATAATTATCACGAATAGCTCTATTTGGCATAGTGATCGTCCCGAAGTTGAGCTCTATCCTTGAAGGGGTGATTGAAACAATTCTAATCTTCACTAGTCTATTTTTATGGATAGGCAAATCAAAGATACGAAGAATTTTATTTGCATGGATCCTTTCGTAGTTACTTTGTATCATTTCCAAAAGGTTCTTTTTAAAACAGCTTTTCTGGTGGTAAGCAAAAGTTATTTTTCTCATTGAATGCTCTAATTCCTTATATACATTTTCATCCTCTGAAGACTCTCAGACTTCTTGTAGCCAATCAATAGTTTCTCAATAATGGTCTAATGAATAATCAAGGAAATGGATCCTTTTTGTGCTAAGCAAGCACATAAAGGAGTAATTAACAGCAAAAGGCAACTTTGATAACATCTTTTCCAACTTCTTAACTCCATTGTGCATATTCCGCACCATCAGATCTTCGATATAGTAGATGTTCTTCACATAACTTGGCCCTTTCTTCTTATATCTATTCTTGAATTCTTTCTGAAGAAAGTCAAGTAGCATATAGTTCTCTGTTCTTCCATCGTTCTTCTTTCTCTTGAAGAGAGGGTCTACTACTTCAGTGTGATATCCTCTTATTCTAACACAGAATTGGGACTGAATGCTACTCATAAGCACACTGTCAGTCCAGAGTTCACTTTTTATTTTATGGGTTCTAATTAAGTTAACCATATCCTTACCCATTTGTATTTGACCATAAAAACCTCTCTGGCAACTTCGAAAGCTTCATATGAACTTCAAAAAACGCATGCCCTTGATAAACTATACCAACATCACCCCCAACCTCCAAAATCCCTCTTACCTCACGTAACTTCCTTAACACTCTCCTTGCCAAACTCATAATACCTCTTCTCACACTAAAAATAATTTCTTCTCTTACCAATTTCCCTTCTTCAATTTCCTCATACCTCTTCTTCTCTTCGACTCTGATACCGGTCAGGCTTCTTTCACCGTGGTCGCCAAGATCGTAGTTAGCTCACAAAGTTCCATACCCACTCATCTCTGTATCTCCAGGTATTTCTAAACTTCTGAATACTGGTACGAATAGCTTGGCTCTGATCTTCTTGTTGGATTTTTTCGATGTGATGTGCTTTTCGAGTCCAAATTCAACCTTGCGGACTTTCTCCATGAAGCCTATGGTGAGAAAAAAGAGTTACAAATTTCCATTTTAGATTTTAAGATTTCAATTAAAAATTAAGGAAAAGGGGTTTTGGGGTTTTGGGGTTTTGGGGTTTTGGGG